TGTGTACCGGTTGACCTTTGCAGCAACATATGCAGATGACCTCCAGCCTGTTTTCCTTTCAAGTGTGTAAGGCCTCTTAGCTTCAGTTCGTTCAGTGGCTTGACTTTGTCTGGTCTACGCCAGATATGCTCTCTGATTTCTTCTTGGAAGGGGGCTTTGATTCGAACGTTGTCCCAGGGTTTCTCTGTCTTGGGAAGTCTTCCCGCTGATTGTCTTACGACTGATTCAAGAGCTTTCTGGGATTCCTTGTAGTTCTCCCCTTCCTTGCGTTCATCGTCCTCGAGCCGTATAATATCTTCAGAGCATCTGTTAATCAGCTCTCGTAGCCACCAATTTCTTTGCATGTCTTCTTGCTCGGCTTCAACCCGGAGATCATCCCATTCTGTCCATTTTCTCGGCCATTTGTCGTATATCACCGCCTCCTCCAGTGCATCATGAATGTCTTTGCCTGGGGGGATGTATGGAACTCTTTGCTGCTTTTGAGGCGGTGATTGTTCCTTGGTAGCTCTGCCGGGTTCACTTGGATTGCCCGTTGACATCAGCTTAGAACTAGGTTCCAACTGATGGCCTGATGTGAAGGATGTACCAGTGGTATCAATCTTCCCTTTTGAGAAACCTGAGTCAATCAGAAATTCGGTTAATGCATCATACCAAGCTCTTGGTGCCTGTTTTAACCCATACAGAGCTTTCTTTAGCTTGTACACATGGTCGGGATATCTGGGATCTACGAATCCTTCGGGTTGAGCGACATAGACTTCTTCTTCCAAGACTCCATTTAGAAAGGCAGTCTTGACATCCATTTGAAAGACAGTAAAGTTCTTGTGGGCCGCATATGCAAGAAACAGGCGGATTGCTTCAATTCTTGCTACGGGTGCAAATGTTTCATCATAGTCTATGCCCTCTTGCTGATTATATCCTTTAGCGACCAGTCGTGCCTTGTTCCTTATCACTATGCCTTCTTCGTCCTTCTTGTTCTTGAACACCCATTTTGTGCCAATGATGGTTTTCTGAGGGGGTTTAGGCACGAGTGTCCATACATCTAGTCTGTCAAATTGATTGAGCTCATCTTGCATGGCAATCACCCAATCTGGATCAGCGAGTGCCTCTGAGACTTTGGATGGTTCATTCTTGCTTAGGAAGCATGCATAGTGACATTCATTTGTTGTTGCTGATCTCGTTCGCACACCTTGACTTGGATCACCTATTATTTGTTCAACAGGGTGTGCTTTTGTCCACTTCCTCTCATGAGCTAGAGGAGTTGGAGTAATTATTGGTTGATCTGAGTCCTGATATGAATTTGAAGGCTCTGGGGCAGCTGTGGTGTGTAGTGGAGATGATTCCGGACTTATGGTAAAGCCGTGATCATCCACACCTCTGGGATTGGTTTGAGGGGTTGAGGGTGTGGATGGTATGTCATCTGGTCCTGTGAGGAGTGGAATCTCTGCCGTTGGAGTTGATGTTGACTCTGGAGTGTATGCAGGAGGTGGAGATTGTGAGTTCTCGTAAAAGTTTCTGAAGAGGGAGTCGAGAATCACATCGTCGTGTTCGGTGTTTGGTTCAGCTTTATCAGAAGTTACTGGTACAGTAGTGGATGGATCGGTCTGGAGATGTTCAATAGCAAAGTCTGCCATTTCATAGAATGTAACGTTTACACTCTCGATGACAGTCCGCTTGTCTCTGAGATAGACTCTGTAAGCTTTGGATTGCAGTGAGTAGCCAATGAACACGCCTTCTCTGGCTTTGGGATCCAGCTTACTTCTCTCTGTCCGATCATTGAGTATGAAGCACTTGCAGCCAAAAACCTTGAGGAAAGAAATATCAGGAGTTTTGTTGAATAGGATCTCATATGGAGTCTTGTCGAAGCGCTTGTGGATGAAGGTTCTGTTCTGTGTGAAGCACGCGGTATTGATTGCCTCTGCCCACATGAAGTGAGGCAGTCTTGATTGGATTAACATGGTGCGTGCTGCTTCAACAAGGGTTCTGTTCTTTCTCTCAACAACTCCGTTCTGCTGGGGAGTTTTAGCTGCTGCAAATTGCTGAGTGATACCGAGTGTTTCATAGAACTCAGTGAGAGTCTGATTTTTGAACTCGGTACCATTGTCAGTTCTGACAATTCGAACACTGTGTTGTAGCAGTTTCTGGATCGTTCTGATAAAGGTCATAATGTTTTCTGCAGCTTCGTCTTTTGATCGGAGAAATTTCGTCCATGTATACCTAGAGAAGTCATCAACGATCACCAGAGTGTATTTGCGACCATTGATGCTTTGAACTCTCATAGGTCCACACAGATCCATGTGTATTAGCTGCAACTGATGAGTAGATGAAGGTTCAGTTTTTGACTTGTGGGAGCTTCGCGTCATTTTGCCCATTTTGCAGGCACTACAATGATTTTCAGCGGAAGACTTTAGCAGAGGAAGCCCCTTGACAAGTTTCTTGGAGGACAAGGTTGAAAGATGTTTGAAGTTCAGATGGGAGAGACGTCTGTGCCATAAGTTGTTTTGTTCAGTTGAAGCTTTGGACAGCAGACAGATGGAAGTGGTGGATTGGACGCTTTTCAGATCAATAGTGTACAGATTTGATGTTCTGTAACACGTTAATAATGTATTCCTTGTGCTGTCAAGAACACAGCATTGTTTTGCAAAGAACCTCACTTCCATCCCGCTGTCACAGAATTGTCCAATGCTCAGTAAGTTGTGTTTGAGCCCTTTGACGAATGAAACATCTTTTATTGTAACAATTGGTATCAGAGCCGATCGAGAACAATCAGAAGAACTCCTGCAGAATACTCTGTTTTTGTTAACGTAGTTCATTCTGTCGATTTTTTCGGTTAATGCATCATACCAAGCTCTTGGTGCCTGTTTTAACCCATACAGAGCTTTCTTTAGCTTGTACACATGGTCGGGATATCTGGGATCTACGAATCCTTCGGGTTGAGCGACATAGACTTCTTCTTCCAAGACTCCATTTAGAAAGGCAGTCTTGACATCCATTTGAAAGACAGTAAAGTTCTTGTGGGCCGCATATGCAAGAAACAGGCGGATTGCTTCAATTCTTGCTACTGATACCAATTGTTAGTCCCTGTTTCTTTGACAGCAATGAATAATCGATCTAACAAGGAAGATTAAACGCTAAAGATGAACACATAATAAATCACCGTAAAACCTTCTTTGATAAACCGTGGAACGTACAGCAGAATGATAAGCGTAAGGCTATGAATAATAAGTACGACGTTCAACCTTTTCCTAAACCTCGGCTCCCTTTTTATAGGCGAGGTTTAGGTTAGGCGAAACAGGCTTTTGGCCTGTTTAAATGGGCCTAACACTTGGCCTGATTTCTATCTAATTTATGCACTATTTAAATACAAGGATTAAATATAAAGCTAATCTATGACCAACTTGATTCACAATAAAATATCTCCAACAGAGGTTGCAGGCGCTCACTGAGGACCATAAAAGATTGTACAGGTGCAGGACTATAAAAAACTGCATGGCCTGTTGCCCCAAGAGCCTCAACCCTGCAAATGCTATACATAAGATGAAAGCCGCACATCTCACTCTATACCCCGGACGTGCATGAGACTGATCAAAGTTAGAGTGAAGGTGAAATTCAACGATCAAAGTTGAATTGCCCCGTAAAAAATCTCCGCAAGTGTATAACAATTTGACTACATTTTCTTGTGAAGTATAAAAAATGCACTTAAGGGGGCATCGAGGAAAGGTAACCGTTGGAATATATACTATCTTAATGGCATCAAGAATACTACTCCTGTTTGTTTTCAAATAAATTCCTTTGTTCTTCTTTAATTGCAACATTGGATTTTTGGCACAATCTACTTATTCTACTTTGACTATATTTTTTTATTGACAAATTTATTAGTCAAACTTGTGCGTTGACAAACATGAAAAATGAACTGTTGCAATTTGATAAGAATGGAGGAAGTATTTCCTCGAAAATAACCTTATATAATACCATAGCATAATTCTTGTATTATGTATAGTAAAATTTTCCAAAAACAATCTTATTTTTAAAAACGTTGCTAACACCAATATAATTTAGCTTTATGTTCTTAAACAATACTTCCTATAAGGGATTTATTGCTAATTAAAGTTTGTATTGAGTAAATGCGTAAAGGATGTCTTAACTATTGATTTTATTGCTTTTGCAAAAAAAAAACTTTTGAAAGTATTACATTTGATACATATTTAGTATCATAACTATATGTAAATGTTTTAACCGACCACACTATTCAAAAAAAATGTGGCAACCAGTATTCTAATAATCTATGCGTGGGATCATCTTTACGTCTTTATATAATTTTATTTCTTATAGACCGTTTTGATTCTCACAGCCTGTATGAAAGCCAATTTTTAATTTTTGTAATTTCTAGTTACACATTAGCCATTAAACCTTTTGCAATAATACCCCATATTTTGAAAGAACTCTTACTCATATTTTTAGGAAACTAAAATAAATTTGTGGGTGTAGCTCAACCGGTAGCGAGAGAATGCTACCACGGATGCGTCGTCATCTTTTATTTAATACGTTAGTTTTTTTGGGTTCAAATTCCGACAACTGCTTTGGGGCTGGAGGAGGCCTCATATTTTATTTAGGGAAAACTATCAAATAGATCCTCGAACTTTCATAAAAAGGTCAATTAAGTCCTTCTTTACGAGGTTCTGTCCGACCGTCCTCGAAACTATTTAATTCAAGACTTGATAAAAATTTTTAAACATCTTATTCACCAAGTCTAGTTTACTCATACCAAATTTCAGCTAAAAATTTAATCAGGAACACATTTTTGCGTTCTTGAATTAATCTGAATGCGCTCCCGATTAAATTTTTAGCTGAAATTTGGTATGAGTATACTAGACTTGATGAATAAGATGCTCAAAAAATATCATCGAAAAATTTCAACGGAATCCGCCCCAAATCGCGACAACCGGAAAACTTAATTGACTTTTTTCATGAAAGTTCGAGAATCGGGTTTTCATTTTATTTATGAAAATAACCGTTGCCGCTGGACAATCGGACCACCGCCTGAATGCTAGCAGTACTTTGCACTAAACCCATAAGCCACAACCCTAAACTGAAATTCAGTAAGAAGACCAACGATATCTTACGGAAGAGGATCTAGAATGGGTGAATATAGTCTTGTACGCGGATAATGTTTGTCTATGTAAAACATAACAATAAACTGAAATGTGATTTTGAGACATTGATGTTGCAGGAGAAGAGGAAAAGGCGGTCGCAAGGGGGAAGTTGATGGAAGGGATAGCGTCCATAGCACTCTTACCAAGTGGATCCATCTCCGGACACTTCATTCAGCTTCCAGAGTCTGTCTGCTATGGCCTTCATGGCACTGGTAAATCACTCTTCAAAAGTTCAAAATATCGGCTTCTGTGTAGTGCATACACTCAATCACTCGCATTTCACCCTCCGAGCCCCGCTGTATATTCAAATTACAGTCTGAACTCAAACATTACATTTATTTAAGTGGAGGACTGGAGGGGCGCTAAAATATTTTGAATTAATTTTCATTCAATCCTAAAATACTTTGTTTTTTCAATTTAATCATCACTTTTCAAATTCAAAGCCAAATGTTTATAGCTCTCAAATGCATTTTACCATTGATTTTCTCAACGTCAATACCATATTCGGGCACATGTGTTAATGCTGATGCTCTAGATTATTATTTCATGCATGAGGTGTTTCGATGAAATACCTCTTAGATACATGTAAGCATTTTATATCTTATCTAAACTCTTGTGTAGGAAATTTAAGTTAATGTGGTTTACCATTCTTGAATTGCTTAGAACTGAAGCTGTCTTCCGATTAATCCCATCTGTATTGGGCTTTGGATAAAATGTGTCTCTTTTGCTATGTGTAAAGAGTTGGCATGTGAAAGGGAGTGCAGTAGAGGAGAAGATTATCGCTTGATCAAACTTACAGTTACAGACTTCAAAGTAAGTGATATGTGGCACCAGCTGCAACTTTTATTACTCTTCTACCCCTCCCCCTCTCTTAACTCTAAGCACACATAAGGCGAGGACAGTTTTCTACTTTTTCCTACCCCTCTCCCTCTCTTAGCTCTGCCTCACTTTGTATTTGATGAATTTGGACTTTTGCAGACTATGAGAGAATGGGATGTTATAGTGGAATGCAAAGGACATGATGCTGCTAGGCTAAATAGTATTGACCATGCTCATGGGTGAGTTGCTCTGATTTCACAAGACAGACCAACCTCAGCAGCTTAAAGATGCTTCCCTTTAAATATTTCTTCATGTTTTGATTTTTGCTAACAGGTGGGAGAATGATGTAATGAATTTGCTTGAAGAGAAACATCGGAAGGGAAATATTTTGGTTTCTTTTGAGTGTGAGACACTAAAAGCTGACAAAGAAGCAGAGGACCATATCAGCAAGTGCATGCCCAAGTTAGTAGGGATGGAGGCTGTTGGTGAGTTGTCTCTACAATCTTGTTTTAGGAGCTTATAACAATAACACGAAGCTGATGTTTCATTAACAAATGTAATCATCATCATCAACTTAATCTCCACTAGTTGGAGTGGGTGGCGTGAATTCTAGTGTCAATTTATCATTTAAAATCTATTGACACTATAATTTCTTGCAAAACTGGAGCTACTGTGAGTTTATTGGGCAGCCTGGTGCCCAAAGCACTGCCTTTATCGATGATTTAGGGAAGGGTCCCCGCTACAAGGGTGAGATATAGGCAACCCTTACCCTATATGATTTTCGAGAATGCTTCATTAACCTTGTGAGCTCAAGATCAAATGGAAATACATCTACCAGTGGGCCAAGCTTTGAGTTAAATAAATTGAGCTAATTGAAAATGTGTATTTTTTTTTAAAAAAGGTTGTTTGAATCATATATCTATTCATGTTAGCCGACCCCAAATTCTTTTGGAACTAAGGCTCTTGGATGTTGTTGTTGTTTGATGCTATTTATCTTATTAGAGTTGCTAGACCTTGGTGTTGAGGAAGCAAAACCCTTTACGTCTTTGCTTATTGTTATTTTCATAAATATTCACTTTAGATCTTGTGTTTTATATGAAAAACTACTGGTTTTACTTTTGGGACCGAGGCTTGGTTGTTGTTGTTGTTGTTAGTGTCTCAACTCTTAAAGTGGGGAAATGAGATCCATTAAATGCTTATATGTCATCCATCGGTAATTCGTTATGAACTACTCGATATACTTTGGTAATTGCTATCTTTCACATATATGACAGTCTCTTCAATTACAGAGCCTACAGAGGCACTTCATTAGTATCTGTTTTAAAAGTTGAGATTAGAATAGTATATTGCTAGACACTGGTTTTGCATTCTCTGGATTCTATTCTAAGGAATGTCTTTAAGCTTATTGACCACTTGGTTATGAAGTAATAAATCTCCTTGTGCAGTTAACATTGGCAAGATGACCATCTCTGGCTTAGAGTTTGAAGATGAAACTGAATAAAAACATGTACAATGAAATGATGGGTTTGTACTTTGTAGGTTCCTTTCAATTTGAGAGACTTGTATTGGTTGCTATCTTATCACCATTGTATATACTATCTATGCTGTAACGGATAACGTCATTTTAAATCATACTCCCTCTATCCCACAAATTTAGCTTTGCTTTTGGATTTGCAGATTCAACTTAATGATTGCCTTTTAATTTATCTGGAAATTGTCAATGGTAAGTGGTAACGTTCAATTTAAAGTTTTCTACTTGGTAGACATTTTTTTATATTATTCACATGGTAGGTTCAGATTATCAAATGTTTACTGGCGTGGCTAAAGAAAGGGTGGGTCTTAACGCCATACCTTTTATAACTGCCTCCGGCCATCCCTCTTAAAAACAGAACTTTTTATTTGAGGTTTAAGTCTCTCAATAAACCTCTTAGAAAAAGCTGTCTACCATTTTTTTTATCAGACCATTCATCTTCTCTCAAAGGTGTCTTGCAGAAAAGCTCCTGTTGCCAACCGACCTTCCTTGATTATGTCACAGTTGCCAAACATGGGGTTTGAAGTATTTTCAAGGATATGGACTATGGAGGTGCCACAATAGATAGGGAGCACCTTGGGGGTGGAAGCATGCCCACCTTATTCACTTGGCCCCAAGTACTTGCTGTTGACTCTTACAGGTACGTCCCTCATTCAAAAACACGGCCAGAAGAACGCTCGAAGAAAAGCAACCTACCAAACGGAGAGAGTCTGAGACCCAAGCAAAAAATCTTCTTTTTCGTAAAAGTGTGTTAACTTTTTTATTTTAATACCAATTTTTATGTAAATATATCAAAATTCACAATATTTTATTAGCTTTCATATGGCGCTGATAATGTATACATAAAATTAAAAATGGGGATATTTTGACTTTGCACCCCGCTTTTTGGGTGATATTAGACTTTGCACCTCATTTTTAAAACTCTTAGACTTTGTACCCTGTTTCCCCTAAAATGTCTTTGCCTTTGTACCCCATTCAGGAGTTTTTCTTCATAAAATGTTGTATATAGGGTGCAAAGTCTAAAAGTATTGAAAATAGGGTGCAAAGTTTAAAAGTTTTGAAAATATGGTGCAAAGTCCAATATCACCCAAAAAATAGGGTGCAAACTCAAAATTCCCCTTAAAAATATATTAATATGCAATTTTAACTGCTACATGTTTTCAGCCTCAACTTTTTTGAAATAGATTCAAGTGCTAAAATTAAGATTTCGCAGTTAAAATATTCTATTTATATCTTTTTGTTATATTTTTCAAAATTAGGTATGAATTAACAAACAAAATTAAACTCCAAATTTATGTTTTTACATCGAAATGTCTAACTTTTTAACTCATAATTATTTACAAAAATAAATTTGGGAAAAATGTTGTATAATAATAAAAATAAGGTTTTAACAAAAAAAATCATGAGTTAATATATTGACAGAGCTAGATTGTAGGAAAAATAGAATTCATCGAGTGTTTGCAAAAGATTTAAAAAGTATATTTGAGCTTCTGGCTTAAAAAAGCTGAAATGAGTATTCTCAATTGATAAATTCTACTCCATCAGTCTCATTTTGTAACATATGTTCCTTATTCACATGGTCAACACAAATCACTATTAATCTCTTACTTTATATATCAAATTTGATTCTGATTTTTGCGACTTTGTAAAGCTTTTAATGTAGTTTCTGAATATGTAATTCTTTTTTTTTTTCTAAAAATGACTTGATTACGGGTAGAAGTACGTTTCCTTTATCGTCGGTCAAATATCGTAAACCGTAAAGTGGCTTGCAATTCGGGACGGAGGGAGTATTTAAATTAAGCACTTAAAATTAAAAGGTGGAAGCAGATTGATATGTGCTTTTCACTTTTTTTTGAGAGTAAGGTGCTTTTCACTTTTTGTATTACACAAAACTCACTTATCTTTCTTTTTGCCATTTTCGGTCCCTCGACTATTGTGTCATTGACACTTTTGGTTTCCGACTTTTTATTTTCCAATTTTAGTTCTTGACTATTATTGTACTAGAGACACTTTTAGTCCTTGACTTTACAATTTTCCACATTTAATCATACGAGTATTATTAAATTGACACTTATAGTCGTACTATGATTTTGGCATACTAAATGGAAAACTAAAAATGTCATTATTATAATAATTGAAGGATAAAAAGTGTCACTTTTATTAGAGTTAGAGGACTAAATATAGAAATTTTTGGAAACGGATACTAGAATTGTCTCTATTGAGATATATTACCCTGACCTACCACTCTACATTAGCCCAGAACATTATTTGGTACGGAGCGCAATCAGTGAGGTCCGTTTCGGCCCGTTTTTGGACTTCCGGCCCACCTTGGCCCAACAGGCCCATCTTGGCCGCTTGGCCCATTAGGGTGGAGCACCCCTTCCCTTTTCCTCTATAAATAGGAGGACTCCCCTCCTTGTTGAGGAGGCTCTTTCTTCCCCCTTCTTTCTAGCTAGTTTTATACTCCATTAATAGGAGCTGGTACAATGTAAGGATAAGGAGAACATTAATAAAATGAGCGGACTTGGACATTAGCCTAAACAGTCCTGTGTTTTTCTCCCTTTTCCGGGTTTCCACGTAAAAACAAAGCGTTCATACCAAATTATATCTATATTTATTATATCCTATGTAGCACAGATACCGGTACGCGGAATCGCGGAAACGCGGACACGGGTACGGGGATACGGCAAAACAAAAAAAAGTAGGATACGGATACGGGGCCATATTTTTAAATATTAAAAGTTATGGGGGTGTATTTACAAATATTAAAAGTTACATGGGTGTATTTATAAATATTAAAAATAGATTTTTTTTTGGAAATATATACATATAATATCCTATGAAATATACAAAAAATATAATTTTTTTGGATATATATATATCCTATATATACATATATACCCATTCATTACATATACATCATAATATTTCTCATATACACTAGTGCATCTCGAAATATAAATGTAGACATGTAGTCGATAAGTCATTAGTTTAAAATGAGAAATAAGTCAAACAACTACAATCTTGAAATTAAAAGTGCAAGTACTAAAGTTCTAGAATAATTAAGATAGAAAACAATATTTTAAAAGCTCTAACATCTAATACATATTTTCACTGGAAGTATTAATTTCCAGGAATAATATTATCTTCCAAAAAAACTGCCAATGATACGGGTATCCGTCAAGATACGAGTATCGGAAACTTTCAAAAAATTACAAAAAAAATGGAAACTTTTAAAAATTACAGATACGACCCGGAAACGTACGATACGGGTATCATAGAGTATAGGATACGGGAACGTATCCTATAAGCCGATAAGCCGATAGGCTACCCTAGAGAAGTATCCTTGTTTCATAGATTATATCCTTTGGATTAACCTTGATGCCCCAGGCTTCGATAAACCACCGCTGGAGGTTTTAAAGCGAACCTCACGAACCCAACTCCTCTAGAAAATCTGCAGGGGCAGGATACCACTCAGGGGAGATGGCGGAGGAAGGAAATCGTACCAAGACAGACCAGGCCTTGACAGCCCTCTCCTCCGCCGCAATCGCTCGGCCACTTCGTCGGTCTCCGGTCTCAGCTTGCCTCTTTGCTACCGCTGCAGCATCATCGCCTGACGCAGCTCTCCCTCCATCGCAGGTGAACCTTGAGCATGGTGGATTTCCGCCATTAATGGCGGTCTAGGGCTCAACTCGCAAGTCTAGCAATAGCGTGATGGGATGATCTCTTGCTGGAGCCGTACAGCAGTGTGGGGAGAAGGCCAAATGAAGAGCGGCCAGTCCTTTGAGGAATTTTGACTTAGTCAAAATTGATGGTGTCACTGCGCCTCGATAATGGCTGGCCGAACGTCCTTCTCAGAAAAGCTAAGTACCCATACTCTAAATTGGTACATTTAATTATCGATGCTATGGTGTAGTATTATTACTATGTTTATTTGTCATCACCATTATTTAGGGATTAAAATATCCTGAACTAAATAATGATCAAGCCAAGCTCTAGTGATAGATGGCCACCGTCATTCTAATTAAATGATTATGTTGGTTGGCTTGTGGCCCCACCCCGACCGGCATTAATAAGTGATCAGACCGTACCTGAATGACATCTGGTAGAATAGTGTAGTTACTATTACCTATTATGACAATATTTTTTATTAGGGATTAAAATATCACGAAATTAAATAATGCCAAGCAAAGCTCCAGGGATATCTTATTCCATCATTATTTCAGTATAATGACTGTTCTAGTGGGCCCTTTGGCCAACTCTCGATCGGCTTTAATCGGCAATAGGAGCGTCTCCGAGTGGCATTGCCCCAATGACATGTTTCTTTTTAGGGTACACACGATCCCGCACGGCACCAAGTGCTCGACCCACGATCGTACCCCAATACCATTTACGCCGCTAGGCGTGAAGTGATTGTTTGTCAGTCGCGGCCCATAGGGCCCAAAGTACCGAGGCGCTTAACCTCCTGTTTAGGGGGGAATGTGCCCAACGAAGGGTTGGGTTTGCAACTCATAGATCCATGTGCCACTATCATATATGAAGACCGGCCTCCTCCCCGCTCCTCGCGGATGAGGACCGTTGATTGATTCTTTCAGACCATCCATCGGTGCTGACATCATTTCGTGGCCACCGATCCTTCGGTACGGTGCCATTATCATATTTGAAGACCGGCCTCGTCCCCGCTCCTCGTGAATGAGGACCGTTGATCGATTCTTTAAGATCGGCCCCCAGTGCCGACATTATCATATGGCCACCGACCCCTTGGTACGGTGCCATTATCATATATGAAGACCGGCCTCATCCCCGCTCCTCGCGGATGAGGACCATTGATTGATTCTTTCAGATCGGCTCCTAATGCTGACATCATTTCTTGGCCACCGACCCCCTGGTACGGTGCCATCATCATATTTGAACATCGGCCTCGTCCCCGCTCCTCGCGGATGAGGACCGTTGATTGATTCTTTCAAATCGGCCCCCAGTGGTGACATCATTTCGCGGCCACTGACCCCTGGTACGGCGCCACTATCATATTTGAAGAACGGCCTCGTCCCCGCTCCTCGCGGGTGAGGACCGTTGTTTGATTCTTTCAGACCGGCCCTAGCGTCGACACCTTTATATAGCCACCGACCCCCTAGTACGGTGCCATCATCATATTCAAAGACCCCTAAAAAAACAAAAAATAAACAAAAAATAAACAAAAAAAAAGAAAAAAAGAAAGTATATAGAGAGCCACCGTCTTATGCAGCACGATCGGCCCCTCAGCGCCATCGTGTCCAGTTCACGGTCGGCTCGTTCATTCCTTCCAGGATGGCGGCCACCGTCTTATGCAGCACGATCGGCCCCTCAGCGCCGACGTGTCTAGTTCACGGTCGACTCGTCCATTCCTTCTAGGATAGCGACCACCGTCTTATGCAGCACGATCGGCCCCTCAGTGCCATCGTGTCCAGTTCGCGGTCGACTCGTCCATTCCTTCTAGGATGGCGACCACCATCTTATGCAGCATGAATGGCCCCTCAACGCCATCGTGACCAGTTCACGGTCGACTCGTCCATTCCTTCCAGGATGGCGACCACCGTTTTATGCAGCACGATCGGCCCCTCAGCGCCATCGTGTCCAGTTCACGGTCGGCTTGTCCATTCCATCCAGGATGGCGACCACCGTCTTATGCACCACGATCGACCCCTCAGCGCCATCGTGTCCAGTTCGCAGTCAGTTCGTCCATTCCTTCCAGGATGGTGACCACCGTCTTATGCAGCACAATCGGCCCCTCAGTGCCATCGTGTCCAGTTCATGGTCGGCTCGTCCATTCCTTCCAGGATGGCTACCACCGTCTTATGCAGCACGATCGGTCCCTCAGCGTCATCGTGTCCAGTTCACGGTCGGCTCGTCCATTCCTTCCAGGATGGCGACCACTGTCTTATGCAGCACGATCGGCCCCTCAGCGCCATCGTGTCTAGTTACGATCGACTCGCCCATACCTTCTTAGATGGCGACCACCGTCTTATGCAACACAATCGGCCCCTCAGCGCCATCGCGTCCCGATCATGGTTGGCTCCGCCCATTCCTTCCAAGATGGCGACCACCATCTTATGCAGCACGATCGGCCCCTCGTCGCCATCGTATCTTGTTCATGTTTGGGATCACTATTCCTTTCTAGGATGGGACCCGTCACTGTATATCACGCCTGACACACCCTCTTTCATACATTACATGCATTCATACATTCATGCATCACATCTCATATATTTATACACACACACATGCACTGTGTTCGTCTTGCCCATGTTTTTCGAGGCAGCTTGGTTCGGGCCTCTTAAGGTCCTCGGGTAGCAAATCCAGGTTGTGGTCTTTTACTCCTGTCTGATACATTCAGGGGGAGAGGGTCCGGGGAAGAGCGTCCCATGCCCATTCCAGTCGGGAGGGGGAGCGCCTTACCGGCAGATTATGTTCAGAGGGGCAGACACCCACCCATGGAGTGGGATTGTTCGAAGACTCAGGTCCAAGGAAGACAAAGGAAGAGCGCGAGCAAGAATATACTTTCTCGAGCAGATTCACATGCTCACTACTCAAGAAATTGAGGGACTTGTGTTGAGATATATTACTCCGACCTACCACTGTACATGAGTCCAGGAAATTATTTGGTACGGAGCCCAATCAGTGAGGCTCGTTTCGGCCCATTTTTGGCCATCTGGCCCACCATGGCCCAACAGGCCCATCTTGGCCGCTTGGCCCATTAGGGTGGAGCACCCGTCCCCCTTTCCTCTATAAATATGAGGACTCCCCTCCTTGTTGAGGAGGCCCTTTCTTCCTCCCTTCTCTCTAGCTAGTTTTATACTCCATTAATGGGAGCTTGTACAATGTAAGGATAAGGAGAGCATTAATAAAATGAGCGGGCTTGGACATTAACTTAAACAGTCCCGTGGTTTTCTCCCATTCCGGGTTTCCACGTAAAAACAAAGCGTTCATACCAAATTGTATCTATATTTATTATATCGTGTTGGATTAAACTCAACAGTCTCTATCCCAATAATCGAGCACTAAAAGTGAAAACAATCAAAGTTAAGTACCAAAAATGTCAATGACATAATAGTCGGAGGATTAAGGATGTTTTTACTTGGACTGTAATTTGATGGTCTGGTCTGATCTGGTCTGGTCTGACTGGTCTGGTCTGGTTTCTTTGTATTTTTATAACTATTCAAGTCTGGTCTGGTCTGGTCTAGGATGAATTACAGACCAAGTAAAAACATCCTAAGTGGCAAAAACTCTTTTCAAACCCTACCCACTTCTACTTTTTCAAAAGCATCTTTTCTCAAACACTATATATATATATATATATATATATATATATATATATATATATATATATATATATATATATATATATATATATATATTAAATTTTACTTTTAAACGTTTTCTCTAAAATCACTTTAAAAAATCAGTTTTTTAAAAATAAAACTCTCGAAAGACACTCCTAAGGGTGTGTGCACATTGAGGTCTTCCCAACAACAAATTTAGGGAGTGATTGTAAATGCTTTTGCTTTAAAAAAACACTTTTTAGAGTGATTTTGGAAAAAGTGATTAATATATAGTAAAAGTTGACAGTTTTTGAGAAAAGTGATTTTGAAAAATAAATGTTGATATTGTTTGGTAAAATTTGTATTTTTTGTGTAATATAAAAAGCAAAAAGTATTTTTCAGCCAAAAGCCAAGAAACGCTTTTTTAAGTAGAAGTTGCTAGTTGTCACTTGAAAAATACTAATTTTAACTTTCTTAAACTAAAAGTCGAGAAGGCTTTTTTTAATTAAGCTCTTGCAAAGAGACACTTAATCATTTAGTCTATCATTTAATGAAGGGTGTTGACTGGCACAATTACAAGACCATTACCTGTATGATGTAGTCATTTGACTGTTGTATACTTGTATGTTGGTAAAGAAACCGAGTCAGATCCGATCAAGACCATTTATTTACTTGGTTTAATTTCAGCTGGTGAATATTTTTACGGCTAAAGGGTCAAATAGGCCCCTGAACGTATACGAATTGCTCAATTGGCACCCCAAACCCAAAAAAGCTCCGATCCAACCCACCAACCAAATTAAAAACTTCAATCCCCCCATCCAACCGGTTACCTCCCGGTTGTCCCCCTTTCAACCGGAAACTGGAAGGTCGGTGGTTATCAGAGAGCTCCAAGCTACCATTAATGGCGGAAATCAGAGAGCTCTCAACCGGTGGGGGTTCCCACGACATCGGACCAGATGGATGAGTGGTCACTGGTTGGCCGCTGATGAAGAACGGCGGTGTGGCGGCTGGAGGAGCCAACGACGAGCCACGAGCATCGCTACGGCCGGCGGCGTTTCTCCGGAAATGGAGCGGCGAGACCTGGGGTGCTTCAGAGAGCACCACTTGGTGCAGGTGGCCTTACCGGAGGGTTCACGGCGGTGCGAACGACGGCGGCGGCTCCGGTGACCCTTGGTGATAACCTTTGGTGCGAAGTACTGTTCACATGCGTAAGGGGGACAACCGGGAGTCCGGGAGGTAACCGGTTGGATGGGGGGATTGAAGTTTTTAATTTGGTTGGTGGGTTGGATCGGAACTTTTTTGGGTTTGGGGTGCCAATTGAACAATTCATATACGTTCAAGGGTCTATTTGACCCTTTAAACTATTTTTACGAAGAATTTCACAACTGAATGGTTCACTTTTTGATATCCAATGATTTACATGTGAAATCTTCGATTGAAAGTGAGTATTAGTGAGCTAATGTATTTTGGGTTTACTTTGTAATTTTCATTATTCTCTTTTATAATAAATTTACTTCGCCATAATACATGAATTACACGGTGCCTCCCATAAAGTTCTTGGTTTTCAACGATTGCAATAAATTAGTTCAAATAGGACTAAAACTATGGCAAAAACCTAAAATAGGACTTGCTATATTTTTATTCCAAAATAGGACCATATGAGTCCTATTGGAAACATACCTATTTTTACATTCCATTCTTACCCTTCCATTAAATATGAATTAAAAATAGTCAAAAGTCATAATTAAATGTTTAATTCATAATAAATTCGAAAAAAAAATCAAAAATTCGTAGAAATATAATTAAAAAATTTATAAATTTTTTATAAAATAAAAAATTCAAAAACATTTTTTAAATAATTTTATTTTTAAAAAATTAATAAAAAATAGTAAAACTCCGTAAAAAAAAATACAAAAATATGGATGCCTTTTCCACTGCCTGTACTACCTCCCAGCACCACCACCTCCAGCCGATGAAAAAAATGTCATTATCCCAGAAAAATGCCATTTTTTTTCTGAAAATGCCAAAAAAATGACATATTTCTCTTTTCGAATGTCAACATTTTCATTTTTTTCTGCCATAAATATGGCATTCGTAATGAACTTGGCATTTTTTCCCCCTGGTGACTGGAGGTGGTGGTGCTGAGGCGGCAGAGGCGGCGGCGATTTTTTTTTTTGAGTTTTTATTTTTTTTAATTTTTTTTTAATTTTTTTAATTTTTTGAAAAAAAAATAATTAAAATTTTAATATCGAAATGTTTTTCTTAATTTTTTAGTATTTTTTACGAATTTTTATTATTTTTTATTATTTTATTAGGAATTAAAACATTTTAATAGCTATAAGGGTATAATTGTCCAAGGTATACATAATTAGTCCTATGCAAACATAGTTCATTTTTTGGTCCTATTTGTGAAAAGTGAATGACTTTTACTCCTATTTTGATAATTAACTCTTGTTTATACTATATCTACTCCAAATTTATTATATACGGAGTATTATTTCAAAAATAGAGGTGAATATATTTATTCCTCAAATAGGATTCATTTAGTCTTATCAAAAGAACAAGTTGATTAAGGATGTTTTCTTTCAGTGCTTTCAGTTCCAAATCCGATCAGATCAAACCAGATCAGACTTTCATAGTTATAAAATACATAGAAATTAAACATTTACCAAACCATATCAGACCAGATCAGATCAGACTAACAAATTCCAGTCTAAAAGAAATCATTCTAAAACTTCTCAAAAGACGAGTGAATGAGCCATACGCCCATACTACTATGCGAAGAAACTATAATTCTATGTATTAACTTTATCATTGAAAAAAAAAACTTTATCATTGTTTTAGTCTTATTTAGAGAATTTATTGTTTTATATATTAAATGCTTTCTACAAAGAATGTGATGTAATGGGTAGAGGTTATTTTATTTTGAAAATTCCCGAAATAAGAGAGAACGTTTTGAAATTTCAAAATACGATTGTCATATTTTTATTCCATAAATAAAAATTATTATTGTCAGGTTTTTAAATATTGCCATGTTTAAATTCTGATAATATCCAAACAAGTAATTGGTACTCTTAGGATGTTTTTACGTGGACTGAAATTTGTTGATCTGGTCTGATCTGATCTGCTTAAGACTGATCTGATCTGGTAAATGTCTTATCTTTGTGTAATTATTAGTGAGAATTCCCTAAATAGAAGTAAAACCCTTTTGAATTTCCAAAATAGGAGTATCATGTTTTTTATTCCCTGAATAGAAGTAAATTTCTGCCAAGTTTGGCATTACTAAGCTTTTAAACGTGGCATTTTTTCCCAAACTTGGCAGATTACTCTTATTGAAGGAATAAAAAACATGATACTCTTATTTTGGAATTTCAAAGAGTTTTTACTCCTATTTAGGGCAATATCTATAATTATAACTATGGAATTTTAGTCATATTTGATTTGTTTAATTCTGATATGATTTGGTTTGGTCTGATTTGTTTAATTCTAGTATGGTAAAAATATTCTAATTTGAAAAATTAAAAAGTGATTGGTCATACGAAGTACTCCCTCCGTTCTTTTTTAGTTGCAACGGTCAACATTTCACACGTCTTTGACCGTAATTATTTCTTAATTCTATTAGTAAAAAATATCAAAAATCAGATTTTGAAAATTTGTAATGAGATGAATCGAACAATATTTTTTTTAAGAAATAATTTTCATAAAATAATTGCGTAAACTATTGTCAAAGTAGAACCTGTGAATAGTGTAAAATTGCACGTGTTGTTATTAAAACAGAATGTAAGATAGTATTTTAGATCTGAGAAACGATTTTACTCGGTAATCTTTTAGGTGAATACTCCGATACCTTTCTAAAAAATAAGATACCGCACCTATCATTCATTTCATTGGACTATATCACTTTATCATTTTTAAATTAGATTTAAATAATTCAACTATTATATTGTTATTGATCGGTCAATGTGAATAAGGTATGGTACCCATCTTTTAAACTTGAAGCGTCATGCTAATGGGCATTGATTAGGGGAAAATACGCCAGCAGCCACGAAATGCTCTGCTGGCATAGAGGGATAGAGGTTTGTTAAATATTTTGATTGCCTGACTACACTACAAATTTGTCACATCGATAAACAAAATAGTACGGAGTACTCTCTTTCAAATACTCCGTACTTCGTACATGGGAAAGAAAGAAATACGGATTTGTACTTGTTCATTATTTCCTTGATCGCACTTTCCGTACACATTCTTATATACTCATGTTTTTGAATGCATTTTTGTGTATCTGTCTCAGACAAAAAAAAACGTCACACAGACATGAGTGTGTAAGAGTGTGTACGCTAAGTCTGATTCTTAGAATTCAAAGTTTGAACCCATAAACAACGATCCCAATTTCGGGTATAGTACTCATCAAATTTTGGTCTTGCAATTTTGGGTATAAGAGTGTTTGCAGAAGATTAATAAAAATGTTTTTTTGCTTTTGGCTTTAGAAAAATTGAAATTGGTGTTTTCAAATGACAATTTCTGCTTTCATTAAGCACTTAAAAGCTAAAAACTGGAAGCAGATTGAGGATGCTTTAAACTGCTTTTCACTTTTTCGATTACACAAAATACACTTTTTTCCCAAGCACTACCAATTTTTACTACTCCCTCCGTCCCTCAATACTTTGCCATATTTGTCCGGCACGGGAAATAATAAAGTAAAAATTGTTTGGTTGAGATATGTGCAGAGGACAGAGAAATGACAGGAACCACAAATTCATTGATTAAAAGGGAAAGTGACAAAGTTTTTGGGACATCCAAAAAAGGAAAGATGGCAAAATTATAAGGGACGGAGGGAGTATTAAGCATTTTATCCAAAATCACTTTTTAAAGTAGAAAAAATTCCAATATTTTATAAATATTGGATAATAGTATATACTGAAATATCCTTATGTAAAGTAAGTTAAATGAGAAGCAAATGTAATAAATCACTCCAAAATGATAAACTTTATTATTAGAATCAGAAATTTTATAAAGAAAGTGTTTTTAATTATGGCTAATTATTGGCTATTTTAAATTGAATTTTTTAAGATCTATTTCATTTGATCTGAATTTTTTTTACGGAGTACTAGACTCTCAGCTGAGATTTGTGCTTTCATAAGCCCATCTTCACCGTATTTCCGTATTCATGGACATGCCAAGGATGTACGTACTACCTCAATGTATATTCAACACTATAATTTGCCCAAACTTATGTATTTCTGTTTATATACATCATCCTTAATTCTCTCTCGCATCACTAGCTCCCTCACAAGATGCCTTCTTATCCCAACCTCCATTTCCCCTTCTCAAGGTCTTATTTTATTTGATTTATTTATTTGTATATATACTCTTAAAGATTGGTTTTTGTAATAACAGATTGTGTATGTTTGTTAATTTGCAGATGGTTTGGTAAATCGGTCCAACCGAACAAAGGAAGCCACAGTTATGGTGAGAACCGTGCAACCGAGTGTTATGCTTGTACACAAGTCGGGGTTCCGGTTTTCCACTCCACTAGTTGCGACAACGCAAACCAGCCCGAGTGGGAGGCTTCTGCCGGTTCATCCCTGATCCCCATCAAGCACAAGCCCGGTTCATCTGTGGGTGCCATGGCTCGGAACGGCTCGGGGTCTGGGCCGTTCGGGCGAGTGTTGGACCCACGTAGAAAGCGGGTGCAGAGGTGGAACCGCGTGTTCTTGTTGGCACGTGGTGTGGCCTTGGCCATCGACCCTCTCTTCGTCTACACCTTATCCATCGGTCGAGGGGGCTCACCTGACATGCACATGGATAGCGTCTTGGTTGCAATTGTCACGGCGCTCCGAACATGCGTCGACGCCGTGCACATTTGCCACATGTGGCGGCAGTTCTGGCTGGCTTATGTGTCTAGGGAGTCGCTGGTGATCGGTAGCGGGAAACTCGTTTGGGATGCACGAGCTATTGCCTCCCGCTATGTCCGGTCGTCAGATGGCTTCTGGTTCGACGCTTTTGTGATCCTCCCTATTCCTCAGGTGAATCCCTACTTGCATTATGGATAAATAAATATAAAGAGAACGCCAACATATTGACCAAAAAGATTCAAAGTATATATACATCCTTCTTAATTTGATGTGATTTAACCCTATTACAAATCAAGTTAACATACTCCTTATCGGATTGAGGAAAAACATGAATATAGGAATTAAAACTGGTCAACAAATTA